TGTTCCTCAGCAGCCACCAAGTGAGCCCTCATACATCATATTCAAGAACAGTAATATAACAAATGATTACTATTTCTACCCTTACGAAGAATCCGACTTTGCTCAGCAAGTTTGCATACAAGTTCTTAAGTCCTTTTAACTCCCTGAAGGAGAGGAACCCTATTGATATTCTGCAGTTAGGAAGCTGAGTCATAGGATGGATAAGCAAATTGCCCACCAACACTTAGTGACTGGGAGAGGTGGGTCCTGATCCCAAGTGTGCGCCCCTAGGTCAGGTCGTCTGCATAATGCCACTTTAGAACAATAAGTAGAAACATAAGTAGGCATAACACATGCCCAAGAGCATTCAGTCGGACCAGACATGGACGGGAACACTCAGTCCCTGTCCTTGGACTCTGCTCTTGAGCCACACTGTGTCCCATAGCCTGACGTCCAGCATGAGTGATTTTTATTGGCTCATGCCCTCAGCAGTCCCTGAATTGCAAAAGGTATAAACCTATTCTTGTCAATGAAAACAAAGACATTTTCTCAAAAGGAGTCACAGAATCAATGAGAAGGCTGCTATGCCAGGCAGCTCTAGAGACTGGTGAGTTGAAATGAAACAAACCATCTCTTGCCAGGAGAGATTGGTCCTGGGTCTCTCTGTTCTTCTCTCAGCATCCTGGTTTGGGTCAGAGATTACCCACCGGGAAAGAGATATTTCCCTAAAATGAAATCATGTACTGTAGCTGGGGCACTGTGTCGCCCAATTCCAGGGGGCACCCTAGAGTCTAATGTGAGTGGCCTGCCCTCAGGTTGCAATACACCAGCAATACAAATGAATCCCAGCCCGCCCCTCTGAGCCTCTGCACCTGTGATGTACACTGCCCTCACACACCACTGGCTCCTCATAGTTAACGTTGGTATAGCTTAATTATTGCTTCTCCAGGTGCACTGGAAGATTCTTAAGGACAAGATCCAGAATGTTAACATCTCTGTTTCAAATACCACATAATATAGAGTAGCAATTTCCAATAAAACTCCCCATATCCACATCCAAATACATACTTTCTTTTAAACATGACTGGACCAGTACATATAGTGCCATAAAATGGGGGTGTTGGCCATCTGGCACACACTGCATTTGCATGAGATCCCTAGGAAGGATAGATATGCTGAGGACATGGGCATTTAACAGAAGCCAAAGTCTAAGAACAGTCTCCTGGTAGAAGTTCAGCCTCAGATTGCCCTGGGTCTCTCTGTTCTTCTCTCAGCATCCTGGTTTGGGTCAGAGATTACCCACCGGGAAATCTCTGACCCAAAGGAAAATTATCCTCACCCTCCTGGTATTGTTCCACGTGGACAGCTACTCTTGCTGCAGCCATGCTGCCCCTGGCCCAAAGCCCCTTGTAATGTGGAGAGTTTGATCTTTCTGTAAATATTTACCTAGCAGGTCCTGTGTGAAGCAGGAAGTCTCTGGGTCATTAAAAAAGCTCAGTAGCTAACAGCAATAAGCATGTATTCACCTCCATCCTCCTCCACCATCCCTTCTCCCTCATTCCAGGTCAGTTGTTCTGAGTGATTCATTCCCTAATCCATCCTCTGTGTCAGCACATCCCAGGCCCAGACACTTCCAGAGGGATACAATAGCAAGAGCAAAAATGAAGTTGGTTGGCAAACCCGTGTCCTGACTCTGGAGGTGCTCATTCAGTAATCTCATTCAATAACCATACATGGCACCTAGTTGTGTGTCAGACTCTGTGCAATGTGCTCAGAACCATGCAAACAAGAAGGCACAAATGCCCAGTCTAGTGAGCAAAGCAGCCCTGTAAACAGATGATTACAATTCTGGGTGTTCACTGATTCAAATGGTTCACATAATAATCTTGTCTACTATCATATCCAGCACCTTGAATAATACATAGTTTATATCAGATGGACCCCAGTCATGTGGATTGGTGGATGAATATATTAAAGGCTAACACTTAATGATTGCCTATCATGTGCCAGGGGCTGTTATAAGAGTTTTACATGTACTAACTCATTTGATGTTCACAAGAACCCTGTGAGATGGATGCTATTATCACCTGCACTTCCTAATAGGGAAACTGAGACACAGAAAGGTCGGATGACTTGCCCAGTTAGTAGGAAGAAGAGCCAAGATTCAAACCCAGCCAGGATAGTCTGGCTCCATAGTCTCTGCTCTTAGCCTCTGCTTATAATATGCTATGTGCACAGTGTGGGGAGGCAGTCACCCTCTGAGGAACTAGACAAGGTTTCATCCTTTCTCCTGACTTAATATTGACATGGATGGACTACTCAGCACCACGGTACCTCAATTCCTCAACTTCCTTACTTTTAATAACCATTTCCATCATTCCACCTCAACTGTTCTCTCCCTGCCTCCTGCTATCAACTCTGCATCCTGATACTGCTAGTAAATGCTTAACTTCTGAAATCTGAGTCAAGCCTTCTGACCTTTGGCCTCAACATATCCGTCCAGCTTACCTATTCTATGACCTTAATTGCAATGCTGGAGACTCCATTCAACTGACTCCACCACTGTTTTGCTATTAACCAACTCCTCCTGCCTTCATTTTTTTTCTTACCCTCCTTAGATTCCATGCTGTTATAAGCTTCTCCCTGTATCTATTCCTAGTAGCCTTGCCTTTCTCTCCTTGTCATTTTTGTCCAGTAAAACTCTAATCCAATCATCTACCCTCTCTATTTTTGCATCAGAGCTACTGAATGTTGCTGAGAAAGTATAAATCTGAGCCAACCAGAGAATCTTTAAATTCATAGCCACAAGCCTCAAAAAAGCACTCAACAATGCTGCCTAGTAGTCCTACTGTGTTTTTCAAGTAAATTTCTTCCCCACTGTCCATAACTATTGTATGCCATCTTCTTGTTCCTCAATGAGCCAGAGTCATCACCCTCAGGTTTTCCTTACATCTCTGCCCATGACCTTTACTGGGGAAAAAAAAAACAAAACAAAAACAAAACAAAAACAACAAAAAAAACAGAAGTAATCAGTCTGGAGCTCTGTCATTGGTCTACAAATCTATCTACATCTGAACCTGTACTGCTGTCATTTCAACCTCATAACTATGGGAGCAATCTTTGTGCTTCCCTCAAAGGCAAATCCCTCCCCTCTCATTTTCTTAAACACTCATTCCTTCAGTTATTTCCTTTCTTCTGCATCTTCAATCCCTCTCTTGCTACAAATGACAAACATAGAGCAATATCTCCTGTCTTAAAGAAACAAGCCACTCAACTCTACACTCTCTTCTAGTTGTTGTTCGTTTCTTTTTTGCTTCTCTCTATAGAAAGCTTTTTCACTTTCTTACGTCCATATCACTCTTCAACCCACCCTATTTGGGCATTAGTTTTCACTTCTCCAATGATCTTGTCAAGGCCACTAAATGATGTCCATATTGCCAAATCTACTACAAATCTTTGCCCTTAAACAAATTTTTGATACCATGCAATACAGTTGATAATACCCTCCTTTTTAATTGATTAGAGAGAAAAAGAGAAACATTGATGTGAGAGTGAAACACTGACCGGTTGCCTCCAGAATGTGCCCAAAACAGGGACAAATCTATAACCTAGGTATGTGCCCTGACCAGAACTTAAACCTGCCATCTTTTTGTGTATGGGATGATGCTCCAACCAACTGAGCCACACCCTCCTCTTTTGAGGAGCCTGACTTCTTTGATCCATCTACTTCTGGTTGCCCCCCTCTCCACATCTGTTCCTTCTTAATTGCCTTGGCTGGCTTCTCCTTCTCTGTTCTTCTCCTGGAGTTTACAGGGTTTCAGGAGTGGTTCTGGCCCTTCTCCCTTTTCTACCTATTAATTTTATTTTCCTGGGAATTGGAGGGAGGGGAGGAAAGGGTGCTCTCATACTGTCCTGTGCCCCTAACACCATATACATGTTAATGACTCCAATATTCATACTCTATCCCTAACCTCTTTCAAAAATTCCAGATTTATGTATCCAACTGCTCTCAAGGTCTCTTAGTAATCAACCCAAAGATAGAGCTCTTTAATCACCGTCCCCACACAACTTCTTCCTCCCTAGGCTCTCCTATCTCAGTAACTGGCACGGCTATCTACCCAGGTGCTCAAGCCTAAACTCTCCTTTGCCCTCACTTCACATGCAACTCATCAGTAAGTCCTGTCTCCCAGTGTAGTCATGATTTTGTTAATTTTTCTTCATCACTACCATCATGCTTCACTAATCCATCACTCTCCTTAGCCACTGAATGGCTTCCATTCTAGGCATCTTCTCACATTTGTCATTTGACTTTTTACCACTTTTTTTTACATGGGTCCTTTTGTTCACTATACTTCAGCACACTCATCTCCCTCTGTCCTTCCTTCCCAAACTCTTGTCTATATCAGGGCCTTTGTTCTTTTTGGTGCCCTGGGGTTCTCTTCTCCCAGATCTTTAAATTATCACCTCACTCTCCTCCCTCAGGGCTTAGCTCCAAAGTCATCTCTTTAAAGATACCTTCCCTGACCAGCCATCCTATCAAATATGATATCTCCCAGTACATACCTTTGGAAGCATTTATTGAGTGCTTCCCAGACACTGGTGCTTTACATTGATTAATTCTTTTATTTTTCACAGCTTGATGAAGTGAGCACTGTTGTTGTCATTATATTCATCTTAAAAACAAGGAAATTGAGCCCAAGGAGGTAATAACTGTCCAAGGTCAAACAGTCTTCAGAGATGGTTTCAGGATTTAACCCTGCGCAGCCCAGCCCCAGCCTGGCCTCTTAACCATCACACTACCTGCCTCGATCACCTTACCTGAAGTCTCCTTCTAGCCCTTTTTACAATCTATTTACTGTTTATGTGCTGTCAGTGTCCTCATTAGAATATCAGCAGTGTTTGGACAAAGATCTTTTTCTTTACCACTGGATCCCCAGGGCACAGTGAGCAGAGAAAATATGAGAAGTCATTTTTGTTTTAAATGGTTGAATAACACTATGCATGCTTTCTATATTTTTCAGAGCAGATTTATTATGCTGGCCCTGCCAATAATATTGGATTTGATATTCCCAAGGTAAGGTTTTGTTTTGCCATTTTGTTTTGTTACTTAATTATTATATTGAGCAGTTTCTCCAAAAACAGAATGATGAGGTTGGTGGATAAGGAAGAGGAAGGGAGGAGGAGGAATAGGGAATTAAACAGTTAACCCTTCATAGGCCACTAGTAAGAAAACCCTCTTTCAGCAAAGCTGATACCTAATAGTGGGCAATTTCAAATGTTTGATACACTGGTTTGTCATTTTGGTATTTGACATTTTACATCATGTCGAACCTTTGGGGATCCTTTAGTTCAGTGTTTCCCAAACTTTTGACATATGTGTACCCCTTCTATAATTTTTGTAATGCTGAGTACCCCTCTTACTCATGAGAAGGTAGAATTAGGCTCAGCTAAGCAAGGTGCAGTGCATATCCCCACCAAACTCTTCCCATACCCCTAGGGGTACGCTTACCACACTTTGGGAAACACTGCAGTTCAACACCTCTCACGTAGAGGGATGTGTCCCTTCAGGGCTGCCCTGCCTTTGGGGACTCCATGTAACTGCAGCTGCTGGGGTGTGGGAAGCAGGCACAGGCTGGCTGTCTTTAGCGCTCAGTAAGGCTAGCCTTTCAGAGAAAGGACTAAACACAACCATGAGGGCTTACAGGTGACCCAGTTAGCATCCTTACACTGCTATTCAGGTGCTGCCACCGAGTAAATAAAGTGTCCACATCTTGAGTGTTCACAGGATTGCCTCACAGTAAAGAGTAAAATTTTCCACTAATTCCATTTTTCTCAAAACAATGTGATTTTATTAGATGGCTGCATGCAAGCAGCTCTGACATAAGCCATACATTTTCAATATGCTACTCCTCAGAGAACCTTATGGAACAATATAAAAACAATCAGAAAAATGTAATAATCTTATTTTTTGTTTGTTTTTAACATCATCATTTTTGTCCTCCAAAGGGTCTCCTTCATAAAAAAATATTTGTTCAATTTCATTTCATTTCTCTTGTGTTTTCTTCTATCCTAACCTCTGGTTCCTAAGGTCAAAGCTGTGGTGTCTGTAGGCCATCTGGGACCTTCACCATCATTCCTTGAGCATCTGGGAACTTCCTTCCCTCCTCCCCCGCTCTGAGGTTCTTCTTCTCCAGAGTTTTTTTTTCTCTGCAAGCCTTTCAGTATAATATGAGTTTTGCAAATTCTCTTCATTTCTAAAATGTGGAGTCTAAATTCTCCAGATAGATTTTTCTATAAATCTTTGTTATTTGAATTGTTTTTCCTTATTCATTTTCTTTCCCTCCACCCCACCCCATACACACACACACACACACACACACACACACACACACACACTGGAGATTGACTTAAAATTTGCAAACAATTGACTTTCATCTTGCATACTTTCATCTTGCATTATTGGCTTTTTTTTTTTTTTAAATAAATCAGTTTCTGTTAGCAATTGCCATGAAATAGAAGGGGAAAGAACTCATGGAATCCCTCTGAAATAAAATTTACCAATTTTATTTCTGTACAAAGCTTTGTTGCCAGGAAAGATGCCCAATGAGATTATTGCCCAACATGAGGCAAAGATGCAGTCAGATCTCCTGGACCTTGGTCTGGGTGTTTAAGCATCTACAGACTGTCTTTGCCTGGTCCTCTTGCCTCCTCCTCTTCTGAGTTCTGGGCCTGGGAAGCAGAAACCTGGCCAGCCCTCTTCCCCCAACCCCCACCCCACAGGCTGCTGACACCTTGCCAGACCCAGCAGGGGAATAACCCAAGTGGGACACATGTGGCCTGTCACATAAGCAGCAGAGGCAGCTGGAGCCCTTAATCCCCATGTGGGCTCCCATGTTGGCTGAGGACCAGCTGCAGTCAGCTCAGGGTACTTGGCTGACGGCCAGCCTACAAGGCTCAAAGACTTCCCTTCCTAATATGGGACAGAGACAGTGTGAAGCCTTTTGGTTTGAAAAAAATCCCCTCCTCCCACCAAATCCCCTGGAGATGGGCCCTGTGCTAATTCTGTATCTGCTTGGCTGAAAACGTCCATTCAGCAGTCAATCTGTACCTTTCATAAGCAGGGCCTGGGCCCAGAGGGAGGCCTGTGGGACCCTGCATCTCTCTGTGACTGCTGTTTTCTGGATTAGAGCTCAAGATCCTTGGGCCTCCAAAGCACAGGGACAAATTGTAGGTACAGCCTGAACTGCATACGTGCCAAGGACTGCACGTTCCTAACTCACACATTCAGTGTTTGTCTCCACAGCAGAAAGGCCAGTGCTCTCTGTCCCTTGTCCCTATGCTGCCCCGTCTTCCAGCATGTCCTTCCACCTACCTACAGTCAGGCACAGTTGTCTAAATAGTACTGTCTCTTAAGCCAAAGTATCTATAGCTTGTAGTTCATAATCTAGAAACCCTTCCTTCCAATACTACATCTGACATTAGGCTTACAAAACAATAATAAAAATTTTATTTTGTTTTCAATATTTTATAGGGTATGGACATAAATGCACATGGGCAGTTAAAAGAAAAATAGATGGTGATAATTAAACATAATCAGATGCAAATTTGAGCTGGTTTTTACTCATAATTAATTCTCTTTTACACTGCTTTGGTTAAATTCCTGACTCTGCTCCTGTAACCACAGCTGCTCCATGTTTGAGCAGTCAGACTCATAGGAACCTATACAGCACAGAAGCCTCAAGCTGAATGTGGTGCCTGGGTGTTCTAATCCATCCCCATGCCCCAGAAACCATCCTGAGGGGAACCTGGGCGTCTCCAATACAGTTTTCAGGGGGGGTGGGAAGGGGGTGGGGGGAACCCACTTGCTCCTGGACCTCTGCTAATTGCTAGGAAGTTGTTCTCTTCTAACAAAAACTGCCTTTCATGCAACTTCTACCCAGCAATCTAATTTATCCCTTCCCTCTGGCTTGCACAGATTAGACCCCTTTCCTTCCTCCCATGACAGGCTTGTCAAAGATGTGCCAGGAGTCTCCTGCATCCTTCCCTCTTGGGCCCTTGCCCTGCTTAGCATGGCCACTGCCCGCCCCAAGCTTTTCCTCTCCAGACTGCTGAGTCTACAAACCCCACCACGTGGCCCTGTGGGGGTTGGGCAGGCCTTCTGCTGGGAGCAAAGCAGATGTGGTTAACCCCTTTCTGCAACTCCACACAGGCCTGTGCACAGCCACTAACACAGACAAGAGGATCCCTTTGCAGAGTGTTGTTGCTGGAAAGGAACCCTAAACGACAGCAATACTTTTTCTGACAGAGCATGTTGGTTTCATACAGTTGGCTTTTACTCCCCTAGAGATCTTCCCTGTCTCAGCAAATCATTTTATCCTTCTGCTTTTTCAGGCCAGAATCCTTGGAGTCACCCTAAACCCTCTCTCTCCCACCCACATGAGTTTCCTTAGTAAATCATATCAGCTCTTTTTACAAAATCGATCCAGAATCCAACCCCCACTCCCTGTCCACCATCTGCTCCAAATCAGCATCTCTCACCTGGCTTACTGAGTCACCTCCCACTACTCTTCCTGCTGCTCCCTCTCTCCCTGCAGCCTTGTACTAGCTAGAGGCAGCCACAGGGGCCTGTCAACATGCACCAGGTCAGACCACTCCCTCAGGGAAAACACTCTCATAACCTGTGTCTCTTTCAGGGCTGGAGGCAGCATTCCCATGGCCAGTGAGGCCTCCCTGACCTCATCTCCTCTCCTTTCCCCTGGGGTTCCCTCTCCCTGAACCCCACTGAAGGCTTCGCTGGTCCTTAAGCATGGAAGCCTAGCCCCAAGCAGCATGGGGTGCTCCTGACCTTCTCCACAGGTCTGCCTTGCCATCCTACTTAAAATTGCAACCCAGCACCAGCCCCATCCCACCCTACCCTGCCCTGCCCAGCACTCCCACCACCCCTTCCCTGCCCAGTTCTCTGTGTAATGTCAGCATGTGACACACCACACACAAAGCTAGTGATCACATGAGCTGTCTGCCTTTCCAGTGAGCCACAGGCTTCACAGGGCAAGGTTTGGCTTGTCTGCTTCTACTTTACCCCCAGGGTCCAGAGCAGTGCCTCACATGGAAGGTGCGCGATGACTCTTTATTGAATGGTCGAGTGCTCTATGGCTCACACACCTCATGCTTTCCTCATGTCCTTTTCAGGGAAACTACCAGGTTTTGCTGAAACTGTATAATGAAAAGCATTCCATGGTGGCCTGTGCCAATGCTACCATCATTTGCTCCTGAGCAGCTCAAAAGCACAGCAGCCTTGTCATGTGGAAATTCCAGGCATCTCCAACTGAACCCACCGTGTAAGCAGAACCTCTATGAGAAGGCTTGCTGAAGGCACTGGCGCTGACTTAGCCCAGCACCAGGGGCCCCAGTCTCCTCTTGTGGAATGAAGCTCCCGGAATCACTTGCTTTTAAGGAGCCTCCTGGCAGTCACAGCAGTCCTGAGGGCCCATCCTCTGTAAGTGGGCACCTCACACCACATGCCCTGCTTTGCAGCTCCCTAGGAGTGCTTCCTCAGGAACCAGAATAAAGAAAGCTGGCCCACAGTGGATCATGGTTCTTCAAAGAATCGGAGTACAGTCCTGTAGTGAAGTCATTTCCTGCAGACAGGGCACTGGGGCCAGGCGCTGTGGCCTGTCACTGCATGGGTGGTTCTAAGAGGGTCCGGAGGATGGTTGCCCTGCCTAAGTTAGCGCGCTGGGGAAACCTGTCATCCTTCTGCTGGGCAAGCCCCTCCCCCTGGACCTCGAGGGCAGAGAAGCTGACACCAAAGTCTTATTTGATGGATAGCTGCACAGCTATGTACCTGGCCCTGCTCTCAGCCTGGTACTCCAGGGAGCGAAGCTGGCACTGTCCCTGCCTTCACGGAGCTTGTGGTCCCCTGAAATACTACAAAGCCACCTGTCGGTCAGTGGACACATTTATTCATACACAGAAGCACCTCAGTGCCCTCTGTTATGAGCAGGTTGCCTGCCTGCTGTCAAAGCCATCTTAGCAGCCCCATCTTCTCCTGTCCAGGCACTTGCACAACTGATTGGTGGGCCCCACAGCCCCTTTGCCATCCCGTGTCCTCCCTAACCCTCTTTCCTGTGTCTCTGGGCCCAACACCTGTCTGGCCCTGTTGTCCTGCGAAGGGGCTGGAGTCTGGTGACTGGGTTGACTTTAGCATTTGCAAGTCTTTCCTATCCATGACAGTGCCACTACATTAGAGATAAAGAGGGGGAAATGCCATAGTTTTAAAAAGTTCACTGGTATCAATTACTGTCTGTATATAATTAAACTACCTAGAATAGCAATCCATAAATACCTGGTGAATCCAAACTTAAAAACCAGAATCTGAGGCTCTTTGAGATTATAGAGAGACAAAATTACAGTGTGGCCTCGCCTGTGCCGCTAAATGCTCAGGAGGAAAGACCAGCTGTGGCCTGGAGGCTTGGGAGACAACCTCTGGCCACGCACAGGGTGGCACTGCTGTGCACACAAAGAGCAAGCTGAGTTTCTGACTCTTCACGGTTTCCTCCAGCAAGACTCTCCCCTGCATCCTCTTCAGTAAGCATCCCTGTCCTAGCAAAGGCCCTGGGTACCCACATGTGCCAGCCCTCATTCAGCTGTCAGCCTTCCAACGACAGGCTGAGGAATAGGGACAGCTCACATCTTATGGTTCTACAGCTCAGCCGTTGCCTTTCCTATACTTTGCCCTCTTCTTAAAAATTCAACAGTGTGTGTGTTGGGGGGGTGGGGGGGGAAGAGGGGGAGATTGAGAGTTTCAGATGCTATAGGTGTGGGTTAAACAAGGACTTTCATATGCAGAGCTAACCTTGGACATGACTGTATATACAGCAGTTGCACTAAAGGTGTTGTGATTTGGGAGAAAAGGGAAGCGTTTCTCTGGCCCAAAATATTCGTCCTTAGTGTCTTGCCATGGGCCTTAAACTTCACTTTGAGTTTCACTCTTGCAAACTGAGAAAATTACCCACTGTCTACAAGTTTCCTGTTAAAATACAAAGTTCTGGTAGGAGAAATGCCCACAATCAAGATCACTCTTTAACCCTCTGGCAGAACAGAGTGACTGGGACGAAGTTGGGAGCTGCCCACTGGAAGCAGGAGGTATTGAGGAGCTGGCAGCACCGGGCAAGCTCTCTTAGGTGAACCGTCTGTGTGTGCACCTGGGGGTGGGGGCGAGTGTGTTTGAACAGAGAACTTATTTTACTTCTCTTTTCTCATAAACAAAGTTTGCTACTCTTTCAAAAACATCATCAAGAATTCCAAAGTTTCTCCTCAATAAACGTCCCTAAAAACAGTGAGTTGGTTCAATATTATGCTATGCCCCGGAACCAAAGGATGCTGCAGAAAATAGCCAGCCCGTCACCACAGTGCCACGGACCCACCTCATATATATATATATATATATATATATATATATATATATATATACACACACATATATATTAATATATTTTATTGATTTTTTTACAGAGAGGAAGGGAGGGAGAGAGAGAGCTAGAAACGTCAATGAGAGAGAAACATCGACCAGCTGCCTCTTACACACCCCCTACCGGGGATGTGCCCACAGCCAATGTACATGCCCTTGACCTGAATCGAACCATCACCCTGGGAGTTAGAGTTTCAACAAATGGACTGGCGGGTCCCTAAGGGGTGGGTGTTCCCCACAGAGCTGAAGCCTCACCTAACTGCCTCACTCCCCCCTCCTAGTTACTAGGCAGCTCCAGCCACAGCTCACAGTCCTCCCCAAGGCCTGGATGGCTCCTTGGAGCCTTGATTTCTTCTAAATGTAGCTAGTTTATTAGACCTGGGGTGGAGTCTTATTTGCTGAGCTGTGTACATTTGACCATTAACTTGGAAAAGAATTTAAGGGAAATATTCGAGTATAAATTTTCCCCCAAACAGAATATAACTGGGTCAAAGGAGCCTAGGAAAGAAAATGTGTGTAATTTTTTAATTAAACTTGTTTTGAAAAGAAAAGAAAAAAGATATGTCCAAGATGGAAGAACTAAATGTGACATTTGCAAGTTTAACAATTACATCTGCCTTCAAAAAAATAACTCAAAATAGCTAGTGAGAGAATGGAAAGGGCCACGTCCTGATTTCAGGGGACCCATTAGGAAGAGGGAGCTCATGCAGCAGTGAAACGTCAGACTTGCACCAGCTGCATGGCTCCCAGTCAGCAAACACGCTCCTGCCTAATCTCCCCACCCTTTCATCTGGCCGAGGTGGCTCCAGAGGAGGAGAAAGAGCTATTTACTTCTAGTCAGTAAATAACTTCAGTTGTTCCTTTTGGAACGGAAGCCTTCAGCTGCCTTCAAATGGACCAGCCTGAATTTTTTTCTCTTCTCGAACCCAGCTTTTCTTTAAAATGTCTGACAAGACGGAATTCTCTCCTTCAGTCTCTTGGTCTCCTTATTGCTGAGAATATATACATCAATGTTACTTTAGTTGAAGACAATAAGTTCTTCCCCAAGCTGATGTTTTCATGGATTCCCTGAAACCCAGCTACCAACAGAGGAAATCACATCCCTGCACGTGAACCGTTTCACTGTCTCATGGCTTCCCCTCTCTCTTCCACTCAGAGGAGGTGGGGGGACATTTGAGAAGGGGCCAGAGAACATTGTTGAAATGATCAAAGGGACACAACAAGGTTTCCACATAAAGGTAGACTAAAAAGGTTAAGATGTGTGAGTTGTAGAAAGACAACATCTGAAAAGGCAGAACAGCAACAGTAACAGCAACAATTTTTTAAAAGCTACCAATGATTTGAGCATTTTCTATGTGCTGGGCACCGTGTGGGGTGTTTTACCTGCATTCAGTACTTAATCTCACTAACAGCTCTACAAATTAGGAATTAAAATCAGCACAACTGTGGAAGGAAATCAATCCTCATGTTAGTACAGCCCACGTGTCATCTCTTCTGGATATGTAGGTGGAAGTGGAGATGGTGGCATCACCTTGTGGGTGAGCTCCTGGGGGCAGAGGGAGAGGAGAAAGGAGGACCTGGTGTCTTGGGTCCTCATCCAGCCACTCCAATGCGAGACAGAGTCACGAGGAGAGAGAAGCTGCAGCCAGGAGCTGACTTCACAAGGGTTTCTGAGAAACTCCAGGACACCAGTGGCATTTCATGGGGCCTCCATGGCCATGTGGTACAGGGTCAAGAGGGTTTAGCACAGCGTGGCCTTTCCCATTAGCCTAGGGAAGGAAGGGAGGGAGCACAAAGAGGGGAGAGAGAACCAGACCTGGGCATGAGTGCCATGCTGCCCCCACTCCCAAACAGCAATGACATCAATGGTCTGGCTCCAAGTGGCCTTAAGAGCTTAGACACCAGCCCCAGGAGGAAGGTGCTAAAGAATAAAATAGGGCCAAAACCCATTTTGCTCAGTGGATAGAGTGTCCGTCTGTAGACTGAAAGGTCCCAGGTTCAATTCCGGTCAAGGGCATATATGTTGGTTGTGGGCACATCCCCCGGTAGGGAGTATGCAGGAGGCAGTTGGTTGATGTTTCTCTCTCATTGACATTTCTAGCTCTCTATCCCTCTCCCTTCCTCTCTGTGGAAAATCAATAAAATAAAATAAAAAAAGATGTGCTTTGCAAGGTTCACTTTTTAAAAAAAGTTTTAAAAAATTTAAAAAAAAATAAAATAAATTTTAAAAAATGAAATAGGAAAGCACTGCTCTTGAGCTCACTTGAGCATCTAGAAATAATCAGCAGGGAATGGGAGCAGAGTGTGAAGGGATTCTGTAATATGCCAGTGAAGTGATAAGTAGGTGATACCTATTACCTTATCATTGTTAGAGTGTCTTCCTAGGAAGCCGTAGGCAGACACATAAGAAATTCCAGTTTTGCAGCCGAGCAGGGTTTTCCTACCTGATGACACCTTTATGCAGAGCAAAGGGGAACTGGTCCTCTGGACAGGTCTGGGCCCAGGCCCAGCACGCTGCTTGGTGAGTACATGCTGGATTTCAGTCCCCTAACTCCCCATGTGCAGCCCACAGCCTATACAACCTTACCCAAGGGTCTAGGTCAAGCTTTGGAAATCTTGTCCCTCCGTATGGAGCATGTTGAAGAAAGAGCCAATAGAGGGGACTATTCTGCCTCAGGAAGCCATTGGCTTCTGCCTGTTGATTGATGTGCTCTGATCTCATTATCACCCTACTCCAAGCTCCATGCACCATTACCAACCCACCAACCTTCATGAGGAGGCACCTAGCTAATGTTACTCTGGAGTGGGGTCAAAACTGCTAAGTGAACCAAACACATAGGCTTCTCTCTAATCGAGCTTGTCCCTTGTCATTTTACACATCAGCTTGGAACTGAGATGCTTCCATTATAACAACAAAGACATTAGCCACCTGGCTCCATGACAGCCTTGCTCTTGTCAGAAACACTACTCCATCATGTGTGGAATATCACTCCCTCCAAGAACTGTCCATCTCTGATGCCCCGGCTGGGTTAAAGAAGGCCCGTGGGGGCCACCTGGCACCCTCCCCTTGCTTTGACTGAAGCGTAACACTGTCACATTCAATTGCAATTGCTTGTGTACTTTTTGTCCGCGCTCCTGGGAAATAAGCATCTTGAGAGAAGAAACAAGGCCTTGTTCTCCTTTAAACAAATCCCCAGTGCCTGATTTAAGATTCTTGTTGAATTAATGGTCTAAGGAGGGGAGAAAAAAATTGATTGTGTACTGTATTCATTTGCTAGGCCTGTTGAAACAAAAAGTATCACAGATGCATGGCTGAGAACAATAGAAATGTATTATTGTCTCACTGTTCTGAAGGCCAGAGGTCCAAAATCAGGGTAGCGATGGGCCATGTTCCCTCTGAAGGTGCCAGGGAAGGAGAGCTATTCTGTGCTGCTCCAGCTTCTGGTGTCCCCACACATCCCTCAGCTGTGGATGCAGCATTCCCATCCTCCACCTTCTTGTGGCCTCTCCCCGCCATCTTACACCATCTTCCCTCCATGCAGGTCTGTGCATATCCGCAAAGTTCCCCTTTCATAGGGACATCGGTCATATTGAATTAGGGGCCACTTTAATGACCTCATTTTAATTTGATTACCTCTATAAAGACCCTATTTCCAAATAAGATCACATTCTTAGGTTCTGAGAGTTAGGACTTCAACACATCTTTTGGGGGAAGGATGTGATTCAGTCCATATCATGTACCTACAATGTAGCCAACATCTTCACATGGATTATTTTAGTTAATCCTCATAGCACTTCAGTGAAGTAAGTAGGC